AAATTGTATATGGGACATGAATGGTACAAGTATTTTGATTTCCAAATTCCCGTCCCATTCCCACCCTATGCAGACAAGATAAATCTCTGAAAAAAAATCTACTTCTTTTCGGGATATTGACGAAAAGAAATTCATTTTCTGCCAAAACTATGGCAGCTATAAGTGAACTTTTGACTCCATAAAGTTTTATACTTTTGTGAATTTTGCTCCTTTGTTTGTTTTGGTTACAAGAGATGATCTTTCATACTTCCGTTGAGGAGGAAACATTCCTACTACTACTACTTATTGTGGGATACATATTTCCGGTTGAATCTCTCACGATTTGTTGGTCTTTCACGAAAAAGGATTGTTTTGTATTTCTGGAACCAAGAGCTCAGTGACCATATCAAATGACTCCACAGAAAAAAAAAGAAATCTTGAGCCTGTTGTAATCAATCAATCTATATTAAGCGTTGTTGAACATGGTCTCTCTCGATCTCTCCCCCTGGCTATAATCCCTTTCATAATCAGGCATTACATTCCAACATATACAAAACACTACAGAAAGCAAGAAGAGAGTGTGTAATTCACCAAACTAGTAAGTGTTGAGGAAGAGAGATTCATACGCCGCTTTTGAGGATCTTCCTCCGAGCCAAGAACCTTGCGATTGGAGGCGTTAGGGCCATGGTGATCGGAACTCTGATCGGAAACAAAGCCTTATTGCACAGAACCGCCATTGCTAAAGCCCCTCCCGCCGATGCCGCCAGCTCCTTCGTCTTGTTCTTGCTCGTACCATCTCCGATCACCTCTTTCGGCTGCGAATCGGAGATAGGGTTAGGGTTTTCCTTGGTGGAGAAACCGGGGATGTGATACTTCTCGAAGATCGATTCCACGTCGACGTTGCTCTTGATGGCGATGTACAGACCGGAAATAGAGACGCCGGAGACGGAAAAGTGAACTCCCAACGCTACTTTGCCGTACTTCTTAACGAATTCCTTGAGCCGAGTCGCCATTGAAGCTCTGAGATTTAGGAGAGGAGGAAGAAGAAGAGGCTTTTACTTTTACATAAAAGGTTTTAGGGTTTATCGTTAATTAATTCCCTTTTTAGCCCATTTTCGTGATAATAGTGGCCCATTAAGTTAGTTAGTTATCCTAAGAAGATGGACTTTTTGTTTGTTTGTTGGGTTTTTATACAGAAAGTTAGCCAGTATTGACCAAGTCATGGCTGCGGCTGCTGTTACTGCTACTTGCAATTTGATAATCGAAACAAATGGTAGTAGTAGATTTTAGATCGGAACGAATTACATAAATGTCGTAAGATATTATTGTATTTGCCTGTTTGTAATAGTCAAAGTCAGATGAATAATTATCATTGACTTCAATAGACATTTTT